GGCGCTGTACCCATTCTGCAGTAGTCACTGTGGAGGAAGGTCCAACAGCCGGATCCGTGTAGGGGCCTAGGCGCGAAATTCAAACTTATCGAGGGGGGCAGGCTTAGTTCGCTGCAACATTGGCGTGCGTACTACGCAGTTGCGGCGTAGTCCTGTGGATAACCCAATCCGCGCTCAACGCTTTACTTTCGTGGCTGCTAGCACGCGTGCACATGTAGTCCTGCCGCAGTTCGGTCTGGTTAGTAACCTTGAAGAATAACTCGCGCAGGACCTCACTGTGACGACGCCGCACCCAAACACACTGGCCCTCTCGCGAGTCTATGTGCACTCGTCTGACAATCAACTTCCTCCCACCTATTCTCCCCGACTTCTGTACAGAAAATACTGTTCCTTTCACCTAGCGTCCACCTTCTTCTCTTCTCCTAGGGAAACGGCTCCGAAGTTCGACAACGGCAAGGGTCTCACCACTGTAATAACTCAAAACTCCGTTCTTTAATACTATTTAAAATAAGGCCTGTGGTTGGCTCCCCGATGGTCTAGCGGTTAGGATTCCTGGCTTTCACCCAGGCGGCCCGGGTTCGACTCCCGGTCGGGGAGCGATTTTTGCTTTCTACTTCTAAAAGTCGCTTCGAGCTCAACACAAGGAACAGGATAAGACATCATTCCAGATGGCTTTATGCCCGGCAGGGCTTTTACAACCCCAAAATGGCTCCGGTTTTAATGGCTTAAAGATGCTCGTCAGGATCAGAAAAATGGAACCAGTAGGTATGAAGTCCACTAACCTTTATCAGCCCGTAGGTTAGCATCCGGATGCACTTTGAACTTGCGAGCATCGACTTCTCGTTCAATTCGGTGAGCCGGAGCGGCGAAAGAGGGTGCTTGAAGCAGGCTCAATGCAGCTGCCTTCGCCTCAGTTAGGATTGGTTCGGAAAAGCGGGCACGCCGGGAGGAGGTAGTGCCTGGGTCCGGTGCTGCAGTGGTTGTTGGTGGTGGCAGCTCCCGAACTGCCATTCCCTGCAGGAAGACGTGATTGATCCATCGCGTAAAACCAACTTCGCTGGCCTCGGACAGGGTCTCTGAGGCATCCCAGCTGAATATATTACCCGAACTACTGTAGGCATTAAAGAGGAGATTCGAATCTAGGAAGGGAGAAAGCGTAGGCGGCAGGTTAAAACTAGCAAAATGATCTAAAGCAACGAGTGTCACTTCTTCATAAAAAGAAACATTACTGATGTTCTTATATACCATACTAGCAGAACAGGTATGAGGTAAAAAGGTCAGACACATCTCGCCGGCATCACGCCGCTGAGGAGGGTTCGGCTTCCCTTGTTTGCTTTCTAGTTGATATACAGGTTTTTTAAAGTTCAGTCTTTTAATTTCCTTAGAAATTTTTTCTCTGATCAGCATAGATCAGTTTATTTAAGATCTGTCTGTCTTGCTATACTTGGGGTGAACTCAATCAACCACTGCCGGATAACAGCGTCATATGCTGTCAACGGGCAGATAGAAGTACGAAGTGATTTTAATTTGCCATGCTACCAACACATACAGATGTCTCGCTGGTATTCTGCCGCTATTTGACACAGCTCCGAAGGAAAACAAAACAGAAAATTACTACAATAAACATGCTACTGAAATAGCACCAATAATATGTTTATAGTGTTCTTTTTATTCCAGAACGGCAGCCAACTAGCCACCGTAGGCCTCAAAACAGTTTGGGCGCAGGGAAGGTTATACGAATGAAATGTCCGTCCGCAATATGTCACTTAATTATTACTGCTTCCATGCAATTCTTTCTACTTTACTATAAAGTATATCCATACTATAGGACGCAGCTTCGCATGTCCTTTTTTTACCAGCAGCGTTTATCAATCGTTTCGGACCGACTCAGAAAGGTAGTTACGATCGCCGGTGGTATTTTTGCAGACATTGTTAACAGGCAGTATCAACCAACGCATTTTCGCTTTTCAACGAAGCATTTGCTGGTTATACGCCCGGGCAGGACC